TGTATATAAATATTTTCCTTTTGGAAAGACATTATGTCTACTTTATTCAAAAACAGTATTTTTTTTAATGTTTGCTTCAACGTAATTGGGTATATTTCATTTATTTACTGTCCTCTTAAACCACTTTGTTCTACTTTTAGCCTTTAGGTTAGTTTTCTGCTACTTTTAGCATTTAGTTACTGTTCTTCTAAGTTTAGGATTAAGCTAACATTTTGAAACTTTCAGCTTTTACTTAACGTTTTGGGATTTAATTTCATCAGAGAGTCAGAGTCAGAGATTCTTTATCGTCATTCGCACCACATGTGGTGCATGTGGTGGAACGAAATTATGTACACAGGGTCCCAGTTACATCCAACAATAAAATGTAAAAGAAAAACAGTAACATCTAAGATATGAATTAAGAAAAACATAAACTAAAAATACACTAAGCGTTACTTTATGCTTCAAGAGAGTGTTTTTCTTCTGTTTTTAATAGTGTTTTACTAATCTTAGCTTCTGGACGACCTTTATCTGCTTCTGGTTTGTAGCTGGCGTTTTGCAACTTGGGGAAAGCTTTAGTCCAAAAGCATACACAAAACATGTAAAAGTAGAAATCCTTCAGGAGATAGAACATGCTCAGATATGTCTCTGTCTTCACCCTGACCACACAGTTAGCTCATCATATGTGAAATGGTTTTGTTTAAACACCACAGACATATTTTTTAAAACAAAACCCGACGAGATGGAATCGGAGTGAGGTGCTTCTTCTAAAGCTCAGCCTTGAGGCTGGAAACCCGCTGAAGATCTGGAATCAGACATGAACAATCAGTCCGCTCCTTCAGATCTCCTCTGCACGCCTGTATCTCATTGAACAGGCATCTCTTAATTACTCTCTCCATCACTCAGAGTGAGTCTGGGACTTGGAGCACAAGTGTCTTGCCAGAGACATTTGGCTGCTTTGAGCCTATTTTTATTTAGGCCTATCTTCCTTCTCACAAGCCCATCTTAAGTCTTCCCTCCACCACCACATTCCTCCTCTTTATTCCCCCCTCGCTCTCCTGCTCTCATTGTACACCGCTCTTGTCTCTCGGCTGCTCTCACCATCCCGTCTCAAACCTTTTCCAAATATCTCCAGGGTGTCGGTTGCATCATGTGAGTGGTGCGCTTGTGATTACAGCTTTTGGCAGACATGTTTACGTGCAGGGGAGAACCTGAAATATCTTCAACAAACAGCAGCGCGTGAAGACGTGAAAGGTCAGCGTAAAGAGAAGGAACCTGATATATTTTTTATTTTTTTAGCGCGACAGCATCTGGATGTGAAGTGTTTGGACCTCTTTCCCCTCTCTCCTACCACTGCCTCTCACATTAGCTTGTCCTACTCCGCTCACCTCCTTGTCTCCTCCTTCCTCCCTTGTTTTTGTCCCTCCACCCCTCCGTGGCGTCTGCTCTACTAGAGCTGTATTTAATTAGTTTCTGTTGGGTTCATTAGGGACTAAAGTTAGGGGGTCGGATCAGAACAAAGGCGGGTTAGGCTGGACGGATGCAGGTGCTCCAGAGCCGTTTGCCAGATTCCAGCGTTCAGATTAGGATGGATGCAAACTGGAGTGTGAGGAAGGCCCGCGGCGAGGCTGCTCTGTTGGCATCACAGCTCTGAAAGGAGAAAAGACGGACAATAATGTTTTTGCATGTGTTTTGATGAGTGCGAGTCCATTCGTCTGCTTGTTACAAAAAGATATGAACCACTGAACAGGTTTGATGAAACGCTCACTAACAAATCACTGAGTGCACATCATGGCTGCTTGTCCCGAGTCTGGTTCTGCTAAAGGTTTCTTCCCCCTGAGGGAGTTCTTCCTTTCCACTGTCGCCTTCATGCTTGTTCAAGATGAGAGTTCTGTGATGGAGTTAAACTCAAAGCAGTCTGCTCCTCTGATAAATAATGTTCAGTTATATATATGAATGGTTCTGTTCAGTGTCCTGAGATGACTTCTGTTGTGACTTGGCACTTTTAAATAAACTGAAGTGAATTTACAACCCAAATCAAGATGGCTGCCACACCAAACTGAACTCAGGGTAACTCAGTCTGTTTTACAAATGCTGAGCTAATGTTTGATGCTTGTAGCCAAAAGTCATCCCCAACGCAGAGCGCTAACAATTTACTCAACATCTTGCGATGTTGCATGGATTTGTTGAGCATATTTCCAAGTTTTGGCCAAAAAGTTTATGAATCTGTCATTTCTCCACATCAGATGATGGTAGTTTAAAACCCTGACACAGAAGGCGGTGATGCCTTTCCTTTAAGGAATGCCTAACCCAGGGGTCTGCAACCTTTACGATCAAAAGAGCCATTTCTGTCCCTTTGTTCACTAAATTAAACGTGTCCAGAGCCACAACACCTGCTACAACTGGGATTCTCAACTGGTGGCTTACAGACCACTTTAAGTTGGTTGGAGGGCGCTTTTCTGGACAGTAGAGGTGATTTTATAAAACTAAAAATATCTAAAGATTTTTAACATTTATTGATATTTTTACACTCTAAGACAAAAAAGACGAGATTCTTGCAAAGAAGGAAAAAATATATAGTTTTTGCCCAGTTTCTAAAAAAAACTAAAACAATAAACTGCATTCTTATGTGATTTTTTTTTTAAATTGTAGAAAAATTATGTATCCTACTTTCAAGAAATAAAACATAAAGTGAAAGTATGTTTTACTCCTTGTAATGTTTCTAGTATTCATATATTTGCAAAATAAATTCCAGGAAAGCTTCTAAAACTAGTCCTTTTAGTTGTAAACACCAATAAAATTCAGTTTTACTCCAGTTTTGGTCAAAGCTTGAGCGAGCCGCTGCAGAGGGACCAAAGAGCCGCATGTGGCTCCAGAGCCGCAGGTTGCAGACCCCTGGCCTAACCGGTGATGACGATGAACTTTATTTTTGTGTGTTTCCTCCAGAAACCGTCTCACATTCCTGCAGTCTGCTGAGTGTTGGTGCTTCCTTGTTTAACACAAGGTGCTGTCTTGTGTTCTCTTACACCTGCAAACTAAACTCTTCACCTTTTGTTTCCCCACGCAGGCAGAAAAACAACTTGTGAGCGAGTGAAGTTTACACGAAATGGGTGATGAAGTGCACATCCGTGCCACGAACGAAGTGATCACATGAACAAAACGCCGCTGCGCTTTGAAGATTATTTACATTTGTAATTCACAGATAGTGCATGAGCTCAGAGGCGAGGAGAAAAGAGCAAAAAGAGGCAGGATTTGACCTTTTTATCTGCTCTGAAGAGATGAGGAGGGTCCAGATGAATTGATAAATGACAGCAGAGGAGAGTGGAAGAGGGGGAAGAAGAAGAGAACTACTCTGGCAAGCCTGGAGCCCCCTCAGTGTTTGAGGGTCCTAGGGCCCTTTAGACAGGCGCCAGCCCAGCAGGGAACCAGAGACAATCACACAGCACCAGATCTGATGCACCAAGATGGAAGGATGGAGCGAGATGAGGAGAGGACCGCTGAAGGAAGGTGGAGGACACGAGAAGAAGAAGGGACAGGTAGAAACGGAAAGAGTGCTGCATCAAAGAGATGAAAAGGGACGGAAACAACAGCGAGGACCAAGAGGAGGAGATGCAAAGAGGAGTGCAGAGCCAGCGAGGGAGGGCGAGCTCATATTCCCTCTGTAGCTGTGTTTATCAGCAGCACAGATCGTGGCGTATGAACAGTGATCCAAGTCAACCATCTGCTGAGGCTAGATAAGCCTGAGAGAGCCGGGCATTGAGCTGTCACTCAGGGAGGAGCGCAGGAACCGAACGAGAGGAGGGGAGCGAGGAACAGAGGAGGAATGAAGACAGGACCAGAAGAAAAGGTGGAACAAACCGAAAGCAGAAGATTTGTGCAGATCAGAGAGCGTCCGTCTTGTTGGGGACTTAATGTCTAACAAACGTCCGGCCCTGTCCTGCCTGATCCTCCAATAATCCTGCAGTGAAACACACACACACTCACACACACTCATCATCGTCAAGCTAACGATGACACCAACAAACAAGGACGTCTGACGTTCGAAACAACTGCAGCCCGAGCATGTGAGGGTTCTTTTGGTGAGACTCCTCCACTGGAATCAAAGATTCGATGACGCTCGTGTGCTGGTGATGAAGGTGACGCACACACCTCCTCCACGAATGAGTGAAAGGGAAAGAGCAGAAGACAGGACGACGATCGGATCATTCGTCTCTTCGAGGCTCAGCTTCATGAGAGTTTCTGTCGTAGCGTCGGGGTGTAAATTAAGGCCAGGGAGCGGTTGAGGAGGGGGTTAGAAAAGGATTAGCCGAGGCCAGTTGGATCATTTTACAGCCAGAGCTGTACCTACCCCCCCCCCCCCCCCCCCCAACACACA